AATTTGGAATCTTTGCGGATTATGTACATACGTATATTTAATGTATTCTCTCACGCGTATTTAATAATATATAAATAAAAATAAAATAAGTGTAATAAACATGATAATATATATATGAATATAAGTGATAATATAATATAAATATAATAAAAATAAAATATATATAAAAATATATTTGAAATAATATACCTGCACAAACGCATAGAGATAATAAGAAAACTTATTAAATAATTTTCTAACATTTTTAAATTTAATTTAAAAATTAATTTAAAATTTAATCTAAAAATTTAATTCAAATTTTTAAATTAAATATTATAAATTAAATATTTTATATATTATCAAGGAAAACTTATTATTATAGGTAAAAGATCGAAATAATATTGTCCTATTGTTTATAATATTTAATAATAGAGAATATGACGATTAGAATATTAGTGCATTATACAAAGCATCTTAAAATGAAATCGATCGCGCGTGACCTTGCAGCGTTTTGCAATCTCAGCAGAAATTGTGGATATAATGTCGCAGGCTTTTATGTAAACGTAAACGGCGGCGATAAAGTACAATTTCAGATGGTTTGCCAAGATGCGCGTATTAATGAGAGCTGTCGCTTCCGCGTTTTGCTTAGAAATCGTTTTTAGTTTGCCGACCTTTAATCATTCTAAGACACGCGTGCGAGACACCACGTGCATCGGTGCATGCGCATATTTACTCACGTAAGTCAAGATGAAGGATCCACGAGACTCGCGGCATATGTGTGGTACACATAGATCCGACGGATCTTCGCGCCCGGTACTACAAACAAGGCGATGGATATTGGAGCAAGGATTAGATCTCTCTCAGGAGAAGAACGTGACAGTAATAATTTTTTTATATCCATAATGATTCAGAGACATGATAAAATTCACGGCTGGCTGGCAGTAATTTGACACGTGATGAGCGCAGACGATCGGATAAGCGCAGGACAGAAACGCTTCGTCGACAAGCGTTCGAGATGAAAAAGATATTGCGAGGTAGGATCGCGTGATCCTGAATCACAATTCGCACTTTCCGGCGCGGGACGTCTAATTATACCAACTGTCATAACAGATAAAGGATATTTATAGCGCTGCCTCAGCGCACCTCTCGACAAGAAAAGTATCTCTCACATCTTGCACGTCGAGCCGATCGATTCAAGCGCGCATGACCGTCGCTTATTTCTCGTGTCGACACGAGTGGCTTCGCACGCTGACTTTTATCGTATTGAAAGTCCAGTTTCTTATTTCATATGTTTTTAAATTATGAAACCTAGCGAAACCTGATCCTTTTTAAGTCCTTGGATGAATCATGTTCTTGCCGAATTGATCTCGTTACATTGATCAAGAGCGCAAAACGCACACGGCAGACGAAGCGTGGCGTATCACGCACGGTGCCACGCACGAAGTCACTTGAATGCCATCACAGTGAAACAGGGGATCAGTCATGTCTCATTATTAATTAATTATGGGAATCAGTCTGCTCGCACGCGAGCATTATCAGATTGGCTCTCATTACCTGACAAATAGAGTAACAGTGACTGCCAACACCTTTCCAATGAGTAATCAAGTATGCAAAATATTTTTCTGAGCATTATTATCGAATAATATCTATTACTACCGTATACAGATTATCTATTTAATGGAAAATAATATAAGCAAAGATTCCTCTAATTAATGGAAACGTAAGCAAAGATTAATATTCACTTAATAACACAGTCGATATTTCTTCATTTCTCGTATACCGAGAAGAAGATCATATTGTGGATTTATACAACTCGCAGACGTTGCAGGATCCACCGTCGAAGGCTTCTTGCCATGTGCGTTGAGTTAATTAACGCCCGCATCAAAACGGCGATGTTAATGTCTGGATACACACACGGTCGGTGTGAAGAAACTGGATGTTATATGCTTCTGAGAATTCGTAATTACGTATGTAACATGCAAAAGCAATTAGTACTTCGCGAATGTTGGACTAATACGTGTAGCGTCATACGTGTGGCTTATAAACAATTGCAGCGTTAGTTAAAATGATAAATGCAAAGTTCCTTATCGCATGTATTGATTTGTAATTTGTATCGTATCGTAGAATAATTCCTTATCGCATGTATTGATTTGTAATTTGTATCGTATCGCGCTGTGAGATCTCAAAATTTTTTGGAATGAAATTTCATTCAAAATGAGTGAAAAGTGGCAGTATTTTCACTGAAAGCGACAGTGAAGAGGCTGCTACTCGAAAATCGTAGGAGTGAATGTCTCATTCAAGTTTAGAATGAGTTCTTTAGATTTAAATGAACGAATATTTGATTCAATTAGAATGAATGTGTTCCTGTGACCGTAAAGTACATTAGATTTATTCTTGAATTCCAAATGAAAATATTCACTCGGCGATTTAGAGTGGAGAATTTATTCTGTATGAGTGAAAACCACTCGAATTGACTCTCTCTACTTTTTGAATGAAATCCGACTCCAAGAGATTTAAAGAACGAGAAAAGAAATCATGTCTAAAATATCTCCGTATTTTCAAGGAGACAGTGTATTTAGAGAGAAATGATTGATTATTAACTAAAAAGATCATTGCAGATCTCGATCGCGTTACTTTCCACATAATTGAGCGGCGAGTAAAACCGCGGTAACTCACGAAGCATCGTGAATTAAAGCGTACAGCTGCGCCGCGATCGATATATTTTCCTTCGCCGAATTGCCGAAAGCAGCCTACGTAGCCGGATAATACCAACGAATTACGGCAGAACGAGAGTGGTTAGCACACGGTAAATTTCGATTGACCGGGTCAACGATTGGTCGATCAAGTTCAGCAGCCAGTTAGCCGACAGTTAGCCTGCTGTCGTCCGGCTAACGACTTAATGACGGGAATTCACCACTTACGAGTTCCTCTTTTTCTTCTCCATCCTCTTCTCCTCTCTTTTCTTTCCGTCCCGTTCTCGTTTGCGCTTCTCTATCTCTCCTTCATTAGCAATGCTATTGGCGCAGAACAACATGGCCAACGGTTCGGTAACAATGTCGAAAATTAGTCGATACTTAAACGGAATCACCGTTGGTCTCTGTTTTGTCGCATCGATTAACTACAACCAACAGATAAATTCAGATAAATGCCCGTCAAATAGCAATTTCTTTTTGTGCTCTTTGTATGTCTGCTTTTCTTCCTCTGTTTTTAATTAAATGACTAATCTGAAATGTCAAATGTATATAAAAAGAAATTTAAAAAATATCATGACCAAAATTACCACACTAAGAAAAAAATCTGGAAATTTATTTATTTATTGTAAGATATAAAGCTTATTTCTGTGAAATTCCTTTTTAGCGTATATATTTGCTTAAAAATATATTATGTATGTTTGATTTTTTACTTCAAAATTATTGTAATTACTTGAATATTTTTCATATTAGGTGGGCTGTTAAATTTATTTCTACAGTAATTTATACTAAAATTTCGATATAGTCTAGCTTCACAGAAAACATTGTAAAAACAAGCAGAAAAACAATTAATGTAATTTTTATTACAATATTTTCCTCGTGTATTAATAGCATTGCTGAAAGGAAGACTGCGAATTTATCGTGTTTCTAATATAATACATTTTTTCGTAAATACAGAAAGAGAGAGATCGGTTGTCTACGTAACTCTTTACTCACAGATTGAAAAGGTTCTCTTGAAAATTTTCAATTGTCCCGATATAGGAGATTGTTCGTGTATTCCTGCGGCTCCTTCTTCGGAAACTTAATCACATTGCTTCACAATATCTTTTAATACTAGATGATACTAGGAAATAACATTACAACAGTGGACTGTCATTCTACAGGTAATGCGTCGTGCGACAATTCTGTGAAGCAGAAACCATGGATGACAGATTATTGTCTTCTATGCCAATCGTTCAGGAACAAGCGCGAGTTATTTAAAAGAGTTATTTAATGTCGTTTACCCGTTTTCTCTCGATATCCTCCCGGATTGTAACGGAAATAATTAGCTCTGCTTTTTAACACGGTAATTGTTTCAGTTCAGGTTCAGAAAGTGTAGAAAGTGCGGCAAACCTGTTGACAACCGGACGAAGCGAAAGTTTTATAACGTCGTGTATCAGAAACCTGAGCACACTCTGTACAATGTATAACACGTCGGTGAGAACATATTTTAATATACATTTAATTACGCTCGTGTCATTTGATCAATGTCGGTGTCAAGCGTCGTAAATTAGACTGTATATACCTATCGATGAATAACTTCGGCCGGTTTCGCTCCTTTTCGTTTTCATCGCCGTTAAGTAAATCGATCCATCGGACCGGTTGGCGTGTGAAGATAATCATCTTGAACGCTATCATCTACGGCACATTAAATTAAGGTTAAGCCTTATCCGACGATCGCAATCTAATCTTCCATTACGATCTGACGTGCTTCAACCGGTATATATCTGCAGCCCCAATATTATAGTCGCTTGTCGATCACAGTTCAACACCTGTAAATCGCGAGAACGTTTTACAAATAATAAATAATCATTATTACTCTCCCTCCCATTATAACATTATTTCGCACGTCGTATTTCATACGACTAGATTTCGATATTGTGCGACACAAGTCTCTCTCTCTCTCTCTCTGTCTCTATCTTTCATTGCTTGATAGAAATATGTCCTAGAGCGCTTAACAAATAAAGCATCTATCTATCTTTCTCGTGTAAAGTGAAACTTTCTCATTATAATGCAATACAGAAACGCTACATGCATGGTGATATCTCTGTTAATCTCTGTTAACTATATTTTTTTTCAAGGAAGTGTATAATCAACGGACAATCATTATAGACATTAGCATTGAACAGCATGTCATCAGATTTAATGTGTCAATCCTCGCTGTGCGACTATTGACTAATGTGTAAATCCTCGCTTTGCGTGCGTTAGCGGAAAAGATGCCGAGCAATTCTTTACGTAATGTAAAATGTCCCTTGCTCTTGCGTTTTGCGGACTATATAGACGGACACATTCGTGAGTGGGATCTTGCCGAACGCTCGTGTAAGCATTTAGACTTTTATCCTCGTTTCTGCGCGGAGTGCAATAAATGTTGTGTCAATTCATCATTTCGGTGAGCACTTCTGTGAAAGTTTAAACAACTGGATCAAAGTTAAGGTTAAGCAGTTTGTCTTAAGAATAGATGGTGCTAAAGGTGTGAATGTTACAAAATGAACGTAAGTACAGACTGAATCATCCGAAATGATTCACTATTAACATTTTCGTACAAATTTTCAAATATTCGAAGGAATGATATTGGAATGCTGTAACGGAGATTTCTATTTTATGAAAATTGTATTATAATTAGGCAACTTTTTTGAAGCTACATTGTTAGCAAATTTCGCTAGTAATAGCGAATATATATTATATATGATATATTTTGAATTAATATATAATTTCCTGCACTTTTGTTATGAAGAGTTCTTTAGTGAATGGGTTTCGCTGAATACGAATGTAACTTCAGAAACTGTCCATCACGTTAGATTTCCGAGAAAAATAAAGGTTTAAATCTCCAAAAACGTGTTTTTGATTATTTTTATAAAATAGTAACGTATAAACTAGACGTGTCAACAACTTTGAGAAGGCCTGAAATTGAAACTTGAATTTTTATCTTTATTGAAAAAGTCGGAAATTTAAAGTTCAATTTTATAGAAACCATCCTCATAAGGAAATAAAGTACTGTCATAAAATATAACAAAATAGCTAAATTATTATTCACACTCAACAAATTTTTAGGTAAACTTCCGTTTGAGACAGGCTCAGGAAATAATAAGATTGAAGGAAAAAATACCCCATTATCATCATTAAAATTGCACAAACAACCTAGAAATAATTTAAAAAATTTTGTATCCTCTAGAATGGGATTCCCCAGACGACATAATGTCTAAAATTGGAACATAAGACGTCTTAAGTATCATCTTTAAGATGTCTTTCAGACAATTTACGTATAAATGTCTTTAAGGTGTCTTAAAGATTATCTTTAAGATGTCTTATGTTCCAATTTTAAACATTATGTTGTTTGGGTCTGATTATATTTTTGTTATAAAGAGATAGATTTCGGAGATAGATAGATTTCTAGAGATAGAGGAGTTTTCGTGGTCGCTGATTATGAATATCCAGAAATTTATTGGATGTGAGACATAATTTTGCTATTTTGTTGTATAAACTTATGATATTGTTTCATTCTTCTGCGAGGGTGACTTCTACGAAACTGCACTTTAAGTTTCCGACTTTTTAAAGTGGAGACGAAGGTTTAAGCATCAATTTCAGATTCCCGTTTCTCTTTTTCAGTGAATAAGAAATAGTTTATTTGGATGTCCTTTGTTTATAGACGACAACCGTTGTGACTGAGACAAACACATTACAATGGCAAGACTACCTTGTGATCGCCGCGGTTATGTTGGTCTCCGTCATCATAGGAATTTATTATCGATTCAGCGGTGGTAAACAACGTACAGCGTCGGTCAGTTTCTAAAAGTCAATTTTCATTTAAGCTAAGTATCCGTTTAGATATTGTTTTAGCGTTTCAGCTGACATGACCGAACAATAAATGATTACGGCAAACGGTTTCGCACGCCTCGTATCTTCCCTCAAAAATAGTATAATATTGGGTGTATTTTACTTTTTTACTGATTTAACCCGCCGTATAATAGTGACGAGCACCGAAGGATCCACTCTGTGGATCATAAACGATGCTTCCTGTGTACGAGGCTACTTAACCGATCGCACAATTACCACCAACAGGAGTACTTCTCCGCGGAGAACTCGATGGGCGCTCTACCCCTCGCGATAGCCTTGATGGCTTCCCATATATCGGCAATTACCATGCTCGGAATCAGCGGGGAATCTTACATCACCGGCGCGTTCGTCGTGATAATGTACGTCTCCGGCGGTTTCGGCATACCGCTCATCGTCTATGGGTATCTACCAGTGTTTTTCGAGATGAAGGTCATAAGCATCTACGAGGTAATTGCCGGACGATCGTGACTATTATCTACTATTAACAAGCGTATGCAGTAGTGGTTCTTTAAAAAAAGCCAGTTATGTCACTTTATTTCGCGCTAGCATATAATCGAATACGATATAAAATCTTGGAAAAAGAAAAGTTAGAAAAAATGTAGAGGAAGCAGAGAAATTTCTATAAAAGCGGAAAACTCACAGGAATACGCAATATCGATTTAAAAATCCTGAAGATTTCGAGTCAATTCACACAAGATAGGTACTTACATCTTGTATAAATCTACCAAGTCTATTTAGATATACCTTAAAAAATCGCAGCACGCTTTGTTTCGAGGACTTTTGAAATAAGTGGGATTTATATGATATTAGGTGCACTAGGCACTACAAATAAAAAACTTTGAAGCGTCATATAAATCACTCATTGCTTTTCTTTAAACACTTCAAAGCGTTTGTAGCGTCTAATAGACTCATAGTGAAGTCACCAGAATTATATCTGAAGTGAGATTTTGATAAAAAAAACTAGTTACAGTTATTAAACTGAAAAAAAAACATAACTAATTGCAAATAGAAATACGCAATAAGTATCCAGATGTAAAAGTAACCAGACATATGTAACTAGATGCGTTACAACAGTGGGATATCTTGAATCACAAATCTACTACAAGAATACTTTGCAAGACGCTTTTATTTTCTTTCTTTCACAAATTTCTATTCTCCTCTCTTTAGTATCTGGAGAAACGATTCGGGTTGCATCTGCGACTGATGGTGAGCGCTGCCAATTTTACTGAAACATTACTACTAGCCGGAGTAATGTTGTACGCTCCTTCGTTAGCTCTCGAAGCTACCACAGGCCTATCCAGTACTATGAGCATTTTGGTGATCGCTATAATCTGCACCTTCTACTCAACGATAGGCGGCATCAAAGCCGTTCTGGTCACCGATATTTTCCAAGGCTTTCATATGGCCATTACCCTCTGTACTATAATCGGCATCGCTGCTAACAATGTTGATGGTGGACTCGCTAATATTTGGCATATCGCACAAGAAGGAGGCCGTCTCGATTTTACTGAGTGAGTTAGTCCAATTAACGCGTGACCGTTGAAATTAAATGATTTCCATACGTTCAAAGTAATTCTCTCTAAAATTTTTGAAGTAAAATTTAGTTCAAAAAGTAGTGCAAGCAAATATACAAGATATAGTTAAATAATTTTAATAAAATCGCCATAGCTGAGACACGAACTATTCTAAATTTCTTTAGCCGAGATTTCAACCGAAATATTTCAAATCTGTGCTAAATTAGTCAAAAATGGTTCGAATCTCGGCCAAACCGAGAGAGAGAGAGAGAGAGAGAGATTCGGCAATTTTAATTAAAATTTTAACAAAAACGGCATAGCTGAGAGACAAACCATTTTAAATTTCTTTAGCCGAGATTCCAACTGAAATATTTCAAATCTGTGCTAAATTAGTCAAAAATGGTTCGAATCTCGGCCAAACCGAGAGAGAGAGAGAGAGAGAGAGATTCGGCAATTTTAATTAAAATTTTAACAAAAACGGCATAGCTGAGAGACAAACCATTTTAAATTTCTTTAGCCGAGATTCCAACTGAAATATTTCAAATCTGTGCTAAATTAGTCAAAAATGGTTCGAATCTCGGCCAAACCGAGAGAGAGAGAGAGAGAGAGAGATTCGGCAATTTTAATTAAAATTTTAACAAAAACGGCATAGCTGAGAGACAAACCATTTTAAATTTCTTTAGCCGAGATTCCAACTGAAATATTTCAAATCTGTGCTAAATTAGTCAAAAATGGTTCGAATCTCGGCCAAACCGAGAGAGAGAGAGAGAGAGAGAGATTCGGCAATTTTAATTAAAATTTTAACAAAAACGGCATAGCTGAGAGACAAACCATTCTAAATTTCTTTAGCCGAGATTCCATCCGAAATATTTCAAATCTGTGCTAAATTAATAAAAAATGGTTCGAATCTC